AAATTTATTAATGTAAATAATTATGAAGAAATTCGAAAGATTCACCTCTTGATAGAAGCATTATTTAGATAAGTCTCGTTTCTATTAACTTATTTGATGCTGTATCCGTACTTATTAATATATAAGTAAAAAATTAAAAATCAATAAAATTAAAAAAGGATTTAACGGCAACATAATTTGGCTCAATGAATTATTAATAATTTTAATTTATTTAATGTAAAAAAACTTAAATTACAAATCATAATAAAAAAGTTTATTTATTATATTTTAAATTTAAAATTGTATTATTTATTTAATTTTTAATAATGTTTTAAACATGTTTAATTAACAACTCCTTCAATTTAAAACATTACAAAATAAAAAAATTGCTTTTTTAACGAATTCCCTCTTTGATCTTTCTCTTAAAAGGGGAGATTATCGCGTTCTAGCGCCGGAATTCGATTCGGTGCGCGTTTATTTATTTTCTGGCTAATCCCTCTCGGGCCGACGCACAACTGCGACTAATTGCGGGGAGAAATTTCCCTTTAACAAGGCTGTCAGCGTGGTGATGCGAATTAAAGAGACACTGGCCGTTGATCCTCGTGTTCATTAATCAGTGTCAAACAGCACAAAACAACTCCCTCGACGCCGCTGCTTTTTTGCGCCTTCTGTGTCCGGCCGAAAAATTCACCCCTATTCGTATAAACAAAATAAATTCCGTACTCCTTTTCGAGGTGCAAGAGTTATTTTTCATCTCTGTTTCGCGCCCGACACGTGGAAATAAAGCAAATGAAAGTGCGTCGAGGGTGAAAGTTCGATCCGGCCGATGACTCCCCGAGGCCCATCGTCGCGCATTATACGCGGCGCAACCAACACCACCGACCGAAAAAATAATGTAACGAAAAGTTTCACGTGGAAAAACAACAGGGGTAAAAAAAAATTACCTCTTTTGTGGAAACGGGGAAAAATGTGCTAAAATAAAGTCAGACCGCAAAATGTGATTTGGGCTTCGGGCTCGGTGCGTCTCTATAATTGATTAAAATCTTGCCTGACTTTCGATCAAAATAATTGCGGCTTTTTGTCACCCGCGCAATCAGGAAATTACGCCCGCCTGGGGAGAAATTGCGGCTTATTCATTTCATGATTGTACGAATTCATCCAATCATCCCTTATATTTGCCGAATCACTTCTCGATATACGCATCGCTTTCCGATATATACACGTGATTGGGGACAATCAAAAAAGAAAATTTTCACACGCGAGAAATAAGCTCCCCATTCCACAAGTTGCGAACGAAGAAACTTTTCGCCGGCTGAAGGCTGCAAATTTAAAGAAAGTGGGTCTTTTTCCGCACGGTGTACGCTTTTGCACTCGCGGCTGGCAAACTGATACCGAGAAGAACTTTTCCCCATCTGCATGCGTCGTGTATGCACAGCCAACTTCTTCTTCTTCTTCTTCTTTCGGCGAAATTCTGGCGAAACTTTTCTGCTCGGGCGAAATCAAACGTATTAAATATTTTAACTCGGCTGCAGATTCTTTCGCTTTTGCTAAGCAAAGAAGGCAACAAGAAAGGGCTACGTACTTAGTGACACATGGCAAACGGGGAGGTAGAGAAAGAAAGAAAGAAGGAGCAAAGTGGAGATTCAACTTTGCTGCTGCAAACGAGATGAAATTAGCTCGAGAAAGCGAGAGAGAGACGCTTTGGCACGTGTGTCTGTTATTTCTTCGCAAAGTCGGCCGACTAAAGTGCCTTTGATTAAATTTATTGAGTCCGCCTTGGAATGACGCAATTAGAGATATAATGACGCTAATTAACATTAATGTGATGTTATTTGGAGAGAAAAAAAACATGAAAGCGCACTTTTGACTTTTAGCTTCTTTAATTATGTAGTCAAAAGGAAACGAGGCCGGAGCTAATCAGCAAAGGTTTTGAAAATAAAAAGTTCAATGAGATGAAAAGTTTTATATTAATGTTAGCAGTTTTTGCTACTATTAAAATGAAATTTTAACGTTTAGCGACAAAATCAATGCTCGGAAAACGAAGTAAATTGTCATAAATTTCAACTTTTAAATTTATTTATATTCAAAACAGATTTATGTTTCCAAAATTAAAACAAATAAATCCATTTAAAACTCAAAAATTAAGACAAACAACAACACACTGAACATGACTAGGATCATAATTTCGCTTATTAAAAGCTCATCAGCTAGCATTATCAGTCATGTTCAGTGCAGTTCAGTGTGTTGCCGTTCGTCTTAATTTTTTTTAGTTCAAAATTGAAAAAAATAATTACTTTTGGAAACAGAAATCCAAATCTGTTTAAACAGAATTGAAGTTTCCAATTCAAAGTGGGAATTTGCACATTTTAATTCTTTTCCCATCATTGATTTTCTCGCTCTGTTTCTGAATCCACGTAAAAATTTCTTTTGAAAAATTAAAACAGAAACTGGAATACACTTTAACAACGCAAACACGCCACAACCCCAGACTAAAAATTACAACAACAACAGATAAAAAACACTAACAAAAGAACAACTACTAAAATGTTTTGCTATAAAAAATCTTTATAATAATATTATTGATTTTAAATTATTTAAATTTATTATTATTTTTTCATTTCATATTTTATATATAATAAATAACATTTATTGAATTAAGTCAATTGATTCAATTGAATAGTTTATATTAAAATTTACATTTAATCTAACTTTATACATTAAGTGCTTAATTGTTAGACTATAATTATATATATTATTGTTCTTGTCAACTTGACAGCATATAGATAGAAAAACCTTACAAAGGTAATCACATCATTTTGGATTTTTTCGGCAGTTGAAATACACTTTATTAATCATTTTGTGGAATAAAAGTGAAGTAGACATTACTATAAAAATCACATCTGGTTTTTAAAATGAATTCATTTTAAATTTATATACTTATTTTTTCGTCTGAACATTATTTGGCCGACTTAAAAAGGTCGTGAATTTTAGAGCTGAATTTGCCTCTCGGCCGTTCCGCCATCACGCTGCAATTAGATATAAATTTGCGACATTTTCGGTCGAGTGTTTTCCGCTGAAGTAAGCACGCGCGCCGGGGTGAAATTGCTCGTGAAATGGAAAACTTGGCCATTCCGGCGGCGATTCTCGGCGACAACCGTGACCTTTGCTTTGACAAAACGCCGATGATAATTAAGGTCGGCGGCGATGTTGCGGTGCAGCCAGATAACCGACACCGACTTGCCAAGTGGCATAATAAAGTAATTCTCCGCTGACCCCACTCACACATCGCTCTAGTGGAATAATTAGAGCAAAAATCTCTCCCCAGCAGAGTGCAATTAGCCAGCTGGCCCGACTTGCACTTGGCAAGTAGGCAATTTGCCTATCCGCCGTGTCCGGCACATTTTCCCATCTCCGAAAGTTAACGGGAGAGTCAAAATTGCGAATTAAATTCAAATTTAAACATGAAACCCACGCATACGTATAAATTAATGCTAATGAAGAGACGATAAAACGGCAAGAGTATTTGAAATTGCTTTCGGGTCAATCATGCAAATTTATGCAAAAAATTCCTGCGGATATAAATTCGATATATTTCGGTGCCCGAATTGATCTAGCTGCGGCGTGGACGCGGCAATTTGCGAGCATCATCACATTCCAATAACTTCGGATAAACGCTCGCTTTTGTCGTCGGGCTGTAAACTCGGCCGTAAACACGCCCCGGCGAAAATAAACAGCGGAATCATGCAAGCTCAATCGACGCATTTTTATATATGCCGGGCCTTTTACGGCCGTTGTAAATCATCGCACAGGTCGCGCCGCACAACAGGAACCGTGAATTACAACCTCGGCGATGGCACTTTTTCAATAGCCCTTTTTAACCATAAATCGGACCGTTTTCAATAATTATTACCAGCATAAATCTGCTTTTTTTTTGTCCCCACTGCATCCGTAAATTTCGCGCCTTGTTTGACTCAATTTGTTTTGCGCTGCGGAAAGGCCGATCTATCACGCGGCTATCAGCGTGTCCGGCAAATCAGAGCAAAAAATAAATAAACACCGCTGACAAGAAAAATTGCGCTCTTTCGTGATTGAGTGCCGTGTCCATTTTTTTTTTTTTAATCTCTGCAAATAATTAAATCACCGACTCTACTTTTTTTCGTTCGATTCGCAATTAATTAGGTTGATTAATGCGGGATGCGTCCAACTGTAGCTTTACCACCCCCTCCGGATTCTGCTCACAATGCAGGCCTAATTAGACAAGGAAATAATTGCCGGGCACAAAATGATGATGATGCCCGCCTGCACTGAATGGCCCACGTTCTGCAATTAATAAATATGACACACAGCTCGGCAATACCAAGCGCGAAATGATGCATGGATGCATGTATCACTTTATTACGACGTTGTTATATGTTATGAATGTGTGGCCCGACATCACTTGTAATTAACTCTTCGTTATTTCATTTACTTGCTCGTTACTGCTGCCGAGTGCACAGATCAAGTGCTTTGGCTTGACGATCTGCCATGCATATTAATGAGTCGAAAAATAAACAAAAACATTATTTGCAATTTGCAACAACAAAATACACCGAATTATCAATAATTATATTTAATGACAAGACTTCAAATAAAACGACTGAAAATAGAATTTTAAACAGATACTGAGCTTTATTTGCAAAGAAATTTAAATTATGAAGAGATCTTGGAACGTTTTGGGCGTAATAATAATTATTTTCTATAAAATTGATCGTTTTTTGCTTAAAAATGTATAAATTTGCATTAAATAATTAATAAGTTAATTGATAAAATAAATCATACACGATTATGTAAGAAAACTATCATTAAAACCGATTTAATTTGCTCAACATTTAATCATTTTTGCTAAAATAAATCGTTTCAAAAAACAGCCAAAATATTTAACAAAAATTTAAATTTCATTCAATATTATTAGCTGAATTTTGTATTTTGTAAATGTTATATCCACTTTTACTAACATAAAACTCTGATTTTTTTTTCTACAGATCCACCCGAGGTCAGACTAGTCGGAGCTCCAAGCAAGGACGTCGAAGAAGGTCGCGATGCTGTCGAACTGAAGTGCGAATCCGACGCCAACCCCCCCGCTACGGTCAGCTGGAGACGCTCTCAGAGGGCGGAAATGCTCAGTGTGGAGCCCACCCTGACCCTGAGACCCGTTCGCCGGTCCGACACCGGCACCTACACCTGCCAGGCTCGCAACGTCGTCGGTGCCAGTCAACCTCTCTCGGTGCACATCGACGTCAAGTGTGAGTAAAATTTGATAAATCCACAATAATTCAATTTTTATTCTTCAATTTAAAAAAAAATAGACAAAAAATCATAGAAATTTTGATATTTTATTTAAAGAAATTGACACTCATGGAAATGAAGAGATTGGGCTTTTCCTCGTTGCAAAATTTTTTTTTATAAAAAAAAAATGGCTCAATAAAAACAATTGTTGCAACGAGGAAAAGCTCAATCTCTTCATTTCCCTGATCATCTCATCAAGTATCAATTTCTTCAAACAAAACATTATCATATCATGATTGTGAAAAGAGTAACTTTGCACTTGTTAGGGTTGAAATGGCAAAAATTTCTTTTTTTCCAGCCAAAATTATTTTCTTAGCCGTGAGGAAAGTGGAGGAAAGTTTCTCTTGTTGTAAAAATTACTTAATTTAAGGGCTCCTTATTGATATCCAAGGAGGCTCTAGCAATTTCCTTAAAAACAATTATGTTAGGATATGGTTTTTTTAGCGTTCATTTTGCATTTATATTAAGCAGTATTTGAATAATTTGAGCCAAAACTTTCAGGCTGATTTTTTTAATTAGAAAAACTTAAAAATTACCATAAGATGCAAAGTTAAATTTCAAAAAATCAAATTTTAATCAGATTAACCCCTTGAACCCCATATTATCTTTAAAGGAATCATCTACTTGTGTGGTCATGCTTTGTAAAAAATTCGGACTAAAATATAACAATAAGAAGCCGTTAAAAAAATTGCCAAGAATCAGAGATCGCAGTTCTCTCTGGGTTTTAAATGCTTTGGCGGGAAATCTTTTAGGGCAGGAGTGAGAATTTTTCCACCACGTCGACGTTAGTTATAAAAATATAAATTGAGTGACCCTTAAAAAGAATTTTTCTTTTCTCCCCAGATTTGCTATTTTTATTCGCGAACCACCCTTGCGCGAAAGATTAGTGGTGGAAAAACAACCGCACCGCCTGGAATATAAGTCAACCGCGCGCTTTTTAAACGCGACTCTTTCTCTTCTCGCACCCCTATATGTACTCGCCGCGACATAATGAAAAACGCAATCACTTTCCGCGGCGCCGCATACAAAAGGGCGCTCTTCTTTTTTTTCTCAAAAGTGCACGCACCAGCCCTTTAATATTATTCACCATAAATTAATTAAGCGGCAACGCGCGGCGTGATATATAATTAAGTCGCGACAAAAGTAGCAAAAAAAAGGCGCAACGGCCTGCATACAGATTTCGGCCCAGCAATTACCGCAGAGTTAATTAAATTGCTAACGTATTACGCGCGCAGTCGGTCTAATTACGGTCGGTTTCAACTCCCGGCGCACGAACTGTACTACTTGTTGGCCATTTTTTGCCGAAACAAAGTTGGCGCTTCTTCTCCACAAAGGGAGGGCAGAGAGACGACCCGCTAACATACGGGCGGTGCCCGAGCTGCGGTTGTTTTTATCCCTTCTTTGATGAAGTTCCCACCGTCAATTATTTACCAAGGCCCGCCGCTCGGCGCTGCGTGCGCGTTACCTAATTTCGGCCAGAAAGTGACTGGGTGCGCCGGGCGCGCGCGCTGGGCCGTGATTTGCATAGTTTCCAAACTTGTGTACATCTTGAGAATCGCTGAAACCGCTTTGGGCGGTGGCCGGTGCGCGCACACACAGGAAGTTCAAAATCTCCGAGGCAAACGTGCGTAAGATATTATGTAGGTGAGAGCAGAGTGATTGAAGGCTTTCCTTTCACCACTATCGCTGTAGGAAAACACAATTTTCGTACAAATTCTGATAATTAAATAGTAAATTGTTTTGTATTTTTAATTTGGTTGTTTTCGCGATAGATTTCACTCTAATTTTTCAGGAAAGAATCAATTTTAAATAAAATATAAGTGAAAATTCACTGATTATCAGTGCAAAATAGTGATTTTTTTTACTGCTTTTTGAAATTCATTTAAAATAAATAGCTCAAAAGCAAAATATGATCCCTTTTGAAAATCAGGGCTTTTGTTATTCACACTTGGGGCTACATTTTTTCTATATCCCGAAAAATATCTGAGGGGTGCATCTTTGCGGAGATTTCCTCAAAAAAATAATTGCAATTTAATGACCTTGACCTTTGTCAACAGAAAAAAGTTACATCTGGAAGGGAAGAGAACATACTTTATTTCAAAATAGAATTGTTTTTTAGTTGTTTTTTTTTTTTTTTTAATTATTTTGGAAATCTGATTTTCTTTGCTCAAAATTTTCAAGTGAAATTTTTGAAAATAGCGTTTTATTCTTAGCCGAACAAAATATGTTAAAATCAGGATGGGTCATTTTTGTGCCAATTAGAGTTTAATCTATCATGAAAACACTCATTTATTTTATTTTTTGCGTTATAATATGTTAAAAAATTAGCTCTCAGCAGGATAAAAGCGGATTAATTAAAAGCCAACGGTTTGGGCTTGTTGATGTTGAGTGCAAAAACATATTTGTAAACGATTTTTAGCGGCCTTTTCTTGAAATCAGCAATTAAAACCTTAAACATCAACGAATTTTCTGGGGAATTCAAAGGTTCTGTTTTTTTTTTTTTTTTTTTTTTTTTTTTTTTTTTTTTTAATCTCTTTTTCCGCTTACTGAACATGATTGCAGACCCAATTTGGCTGCTTTTTAAGAAAATTATAGAGAGGGAAATTTTGTTTTGATAAAACGAGAAAAAAATTACAAAGCATGATGTGATGTTCACGTTTTTCTTATTAATTTAAATAATGATAATTAAAAAAAAATCATATTTGCTTTCTTTCAAATATTTAGCGTCCGAAACATTTTCAGTTTTAGATTTTAGATGACATCAGTTTCGGAGATAGGCAATTTATATCAAATTAGATTCCCCCACTGGTCAAAGATTTCCCATTCAAATTGCGGTAACCACGAGGAATACGTGCAATTCCGTGCCTGCCTTTTGTTCTCCGAGCGTCGGCGGGAATTCCTGCGGCCAATTTTTCGCCTTTCCACCGAGAAACACGCGATCCATTTGTACAAGGGGAACAGCGGGAATTTGATTTGGGTGCGCCGCGGCACGTACTTTGTTTCATTTTGCATGTGTTAGCGAGAGGGATGGATTTTTCTGGTAAACCCTCGAAATTGACAGTGAAACGCGCAGGGGAGGCGAACGCGCGCAGATGCTGCTACTTATACGCAAATTATTGCCAAACCACAAGCATTTGGGCGGAGGAAACTTGCCTCTGCTGCCGGTGGGTGGATTAGTATGAAGGGAGGTTATTAAATGAAGACGTCGAATTGGGGGAGAAGCGGCGGGACAAATCTAATTTCGGGCGCTCAACGTGTTAATTTGCAAATACTTGAGACTTTGTGCAATATCTTGAAACTTCTGTCGAGAAAAATAAGAAGAATAAAACATAAAGCGTGGACCTATTTAATTTTTTTAATATATAATTTATTTTATCCAACGAATTAAATAAAAAATAAAAAAATGTTTGATTTTTGTCATTAATTTCCAAAAATTTTCATTTTAAAGCGATCTAGAATTTTAAAGTAAATATAACTCAGAAAATAGGCTTTATGAAAGTGAAATCTATTTTTGTTTAAAGACTTTGAAACTCGGGGACATCTTCATAGAAATGAAGAGATCGGGCTTTTCCACGTTGCAAAAGTTGTTTTTATTAAAAAACAAAACGGCTCTATCAGTTTCGGTCACGGTCTGTGACTCTAATTCATGAGCAAGAAAGAAACAGAAAAATTTGAAGAAAACAAAATACCATATTTTAACAAAAACATTCAAATCATAAAACTAGAAGCAATTTGTTTGTTTTATTAAAATTTTCTCTGCAACTTCATAAAAATCTTCAAGTTAAAAAATGTAGCTGATGGTTTTTTTTTTTATAAATTTTTCCTTTAGGCAGAAAATATTTTGGACCCAAGCATCTTTTCGCTTTTTTTTTTTTAGAATTCCGTTATGTGAATTTCCTTTCATATTACATTTTCCTCGCTCCGAAACGTCAAAAGCTGTTGAACGTCCCCGAATTCTTTCACGGGTGGTGCGCACGAGTGCAGGGAGGGGAAATGAAATTTGCGAAAATTGCGTGTCCGTTTGAAAAGCCGGCCATACTCGTCAAAGGGACACTCGAGGGTCCCGGCAGCGCGCATTAATTCGGAAAGGAAATAACGGAGAACTCTGGTCGTTTTTCCGCAGATCCCCCGAGGATTCTGCACGTGGGCCCCGACAGGAAGGTGACGGCCTCGCTGTTCTCGCAAACGTCGTTCGCGTGCGAGGCCGAGGGCAACCCGCCGCCCTCGATCCAGTGGCTGCAGAAGCTGCCCATCCACCCGATGGCGATCGCCGACGGCTCGGCCGAGGAAAAGGTGATTCTGCGCGGCGCCGAGCCGCGACTCGTGCTGACCAACTTGACCTACGACCACCAAGGGGAATACGTGTGCAGAGCCGCTAATAAGATCGCCAACGTCGAGCGACCCATCCAGAGCGAGCCCATTCCGGTGCACGTCAAAGGTACGTTTCTTTCTTTGTTCCTTAAGGGCGGGCGTTTGCGCTGCTTGCCTGGGAAAAGCAGTAAAAAGGAGAAGAAAATCTCGTTTAACGCTGGAGAGATTTATTTTATGACAGAAAACAATGGTTTTTGCAGACACAGTTTTTCAAATGGCATAGTTAAAAGCTGGTGAAAAAAGTTTCTTTTTTCCTTTAAGGCTCTAGATTTTATTTGAAAAAGTACTTCAAATGCTAGAAAGTTTGTATACATTTGATAATATAAACTTTATTTATTTCAGATTAAAATTTATGACGGCAATGCTTTCTAAAAGAGATAAATTTTCAATAAAAATTGCTTATTTTATTTTTTACTCCTTTTTTTGAAACGCTTATAATTAAATATATTAAAAATTTAGTTTCAGCAATAATCTTTTGCAAATGTGCAGTAAATAAATTTAACATAGACAGTCAATTTTTTAATTTTTATAAAAATTGTAGTTTTTTTATTTCTTTTTTATTATTTAAAAATAATTTTATTTATTTATTTAATATTTATTTTTAAACCATTTTTTTATTTATCGATTTTAATGTATTATTTATTACCTTATAATTATTTTTTTAATTATTTTTTCCTTTATTTATGATATAGATTAATAAATCGTGTAAAAAAACTGATTATAGTCGTCTAGAATCATTAAATGATATATTTTAGTTTTTAATTAATAAAAAATGTATTTACCAATACTATTAAATAAATAAATTGTGTAAAAACCGCTTCTAGTATTGAATCAGAATGTCAGTTTGCCAAAATCTTTAAAATCCGTTTCACTTTTTCATCCCCAGCCGATTCAGTTTTTTGTTATTTTTAACACATTTACTTTATTCACACTAAAATGTGGATTCCCTGCTTTGAAAAATGCGACGTTTTACACATTTTCGTCCACTTTTAAAGGTGCACCTCAAGTGGTACGTCGACCAAACACCGAAATCTACGCGGCCCGAGGCCACGACGCTATCATCAGGATGGTGGTGTGTGCAGACCCAAGGCCGAGGAGGATCTCCTGGGAATGGGGCAGCATGCAGCTGGAAGCCGGAATGATCATGGGCAGATATAAAGCAGACGAACTCACCCAGGTTTGAAAATCGAACAAAAAATTCAATCAAAATAATTTGCAGAACTTATTTTAAAAATGTTTTTTTTATAATATAGTGAGATTATTTTTTTAAAAGATACTTGCTTGAAGTTTAAAACATGATTCTATTCAAAGAAAAAAAAGGTAAATTTGTAAAATGAATCAAATTACTCTATATAATATTTGTTTTAATTTTTTTATTTTGTTATTAGAAATCAAATATTTAAAAAAAGATTAAAACGTTATTTTTTAAACATATAAATATTTTTAAAAATTTTAAAAATTTTTATTATTGTTATACGGATTATTTTTATTTTTCTTGTAATTATGGAATTAAAAATTAAAAAACAAAACAAATAAAAAATTATATAACGTGCACCACACCAAATGAAATAAAATAACTTTTAAAAATTTTTATGAAATAATCCTTTGTTTCTTCGTCGTTGTTTGATTTATCATCATCATTTTTAAAATCAGCTATGCAGCGAGTTTTAAAACATAATCGTTTTTGCAATGATTATATTTTTGTTTCTGTAATTCCCAGAAACGTCTCATTTCGTTGTTTTACTCATGCGATTGCAATCTTAATTCACGTTTCCGAATTTCAGGACGTGCGCGAAGACTGCTACGAAGCGCGATTCCACATGAAGGGCGCGGACGCGGCGGACGCGCGGAGCTACACGTTGACCGCGGAAAACGAGCGCGGCTCCGACCGGCACACGGTGCTGCTGGCCGTCCGTGGTGAGCAGGAGATCGTGGATGAGGACACCGCCCGCACCCGCCTGCACAGCAGTCAGTCCCTCCTCTCTGCTCTGCTTTCCTTCTGCACTGATTCTTAATTGTCTGCGGCACTTTGTGATACTTTGTGTGATGCACTCCGCAGAACGCACCAGACCGTTTGCGCCACTTTAAAAAAAAAATTTAAAAAAAGAGTAAAATTGAGAGGGTTTCGAACGAGTTATAAACAAATAATTTTTTGAAACTTTTGGCACAAACGGTCGAGATTTTTGTTTGCATAAAATTCACCCACGTCAATAGCACCTGCCGTGGGAGGCCGAGTTTTTTCAAAATTCAGCCCACCCTAGTCAAGTGTGACCCCAAAGCGAACACGTTCTTTTTGCATTTTGACTTTCACAGACATTTTTGTATTTTTATTGCAAAATGAGATTTTACGGAGACGCATTTAGCGGGGATTTTTGTCATTAAAAAAAGAAATGGTTTTTAAAAGGGATGATTTTTGGGATTTTTGACGTGGGTCTGGGCGCAGAAATGGATTATCTAAACTCTGGCGTGTGACCTCTGACCCTTGGTGGTGATTGTGCTGGCTGGATTTGGTAATTAGAAAAAGGGACCAGAGGACCACACGTGCGAGTCCATTTCGCGCTCCGGTGGCGGTGCCGCTGTAGAGATTAGAATCCCGCTGAGCCGCGAAGCCTCAAAGGCTGCGACGGCCCCGCGAGGAAAAAAAATTAAGAATTTTGTGCGTTCTGCGGATTTTTTTACGATTAATCAGAGTAATGTTCAAGAACAAAGGAAGAAGCAGAGGGCCCTGCGTCTGTTTGAACACGCGTGGGCAATCTCCATCTCCTTGAACCTCCTTGACCTCCTGTCTCTTCTCTCGCTTACAACCTTTGCACTCACACACAAAACACCAACCCAAAAACGGACTTCAATCCTCATCCACGCCGAAAAGAGCGTGACTCGCGCCAACGCGAGTCCGACACTCTTCGGCGTGGTGGATGCTAACGAGAAATCATGTGGTTTGAGAGACGATTTTATTTTCCATTAGTTGACTTTTTGAATCCTATCAATTAAAATAAAAAAATTAAGTTCATGTTTGTCAGTGTCAGGCACTGCATGTGCTTTTCGAACTGATTTCCATTTTATTTTTGGCCAGTCTGCACTTCAGATTTTAAATTTTGAAGTTAGACCAAGACATAATTTTTGAATACGAAACAAAAAAATCAATCCTAGTTTTTGGTAGTTTAATGTGACTGTTTGGTAGACTTTGTGACTTCTGGAGTGTATCCATGGCAGACGATTTTTACATATACGAGGATTTTAATTCTTGATGTTACTGTGCTCTTAATTTCGATTAATTTTTATTTCATTTTTACGTCTTTACTGTTTCTTTACTAACCATATTTTGATCTCTGTGGCGAAAAGCTCTGGGCGTTAATAACGATGGTTTCGCTCCTCTACAGATCCAGTCTCTATGATTGCAATGATTGGCATTTTAGCAGCAGGAATGATCATCCTACTCATCACCGCGTGTGTTCTAATCTGCGCCTACCGCAAAGAGACGTGCTGTTTCAAACGTAAGTGATTTCCACGTCCCCCGCTGTTGCACGAATGTGTTTGTGTTATCGTGGATAGGCCACCTGCCCGGCTCGGTTGACAAGCGGGTGGCCTACCCTCGCATATTCTACAGGCGGCCCCGCATTCTTTTATATTCTCTGCTTTTGTTGTTTTCCCATCGATTTTTGTGTTTCATGCTTGCGTGTTTTTCACTTTTGTTTTAGCCGAGCCAATTAATTCGTTGATTGATGGCATTTATGTCAAGCCCACCGGAGTGACAGCTTCAGGTGTGATTATTTTCAGTTTTTATTTTATTTTTATGCCCGTTTCTCTATATTTCTTCTTACAAATGAACACAAAGAAAACTTCATTACACACCAAAATCTAAATTGAAATCGTAAAAACACACATTCACGAAGTGGAATAAAACGAGGTATTTTTTATTAACGGGTGTAAAATTCCTTTCAGGTCGAAATGATACCCAGCCGACCAGTGGAGAACTGAATAGGTGAGGAAAATGACTGGATAAATTTTCTTACTGAAGAATAAAATGGCTGCAGATACCGCTTGTTAGATAGAGAGTTTGCAATTTCATAAAAAAAAATTAAGGAGAAGGAAAATATTCAAGTTGAAATGAAGAACTTCGCTTTTCCATGTTTATTTGTCCAAATTGTTTACATTCAATTTTTGAAAACAATTTATTTCAAAAGAAAGGAATTGTCGGACAAAATGGCAACACCACTTGCAAGAAGTTTGCTTAAACCTCAACAATTTTAAATTTTTTTAATTTGTCAAAACTATTCAACCATATTTTTTTTTATGAAAGTAACGTTTCAAGGAGGAGAAGCTCAGTTCTTCATTTTAACTTTATTTTGTTTCCTCCAGTGGAAGCATCTTGAGTCAAATAAATTTAAAACGTGAATTTGCAAACTCTTCTTCCCCCCTTTTGCTTTTTTACCGCTTTATGGCAAATGGGACGAATTTTCCAGTTACGAGCAAAAAAACGTAATATTTATTATCCTCCTTTGGCTGATTCACACATGCGTGGCAATTTGCGCGGAAAATATATCATGTTTCGTCCCGTTTTCCGTCTCGCCGTGCTAAAAGTCGTGCATGACAAAGGGCGCTCATTTTCCACTTAATTTGCCCATTTTTCAAGCTCCCATTTCCGCAAGCAAAGGCCTCTGAGCGTTTTATTCTCGCCGCATTCGAGAACATAACATACGCTGTTGTACTCACACTAACCCGGCATGCTGAATACGTACCTGGTGTAGAAAGCCCCTTTTAAGTTGGTCATGCTCGCTCTCGGCCCAGGACTCGTAAAAGCATCTGCCGGTTCATTGCCAGCTACCGCTTTTAAGTGGCCTGGGACTAATTAGCTCTAGCAAGTAGAATTTTAATGAATTTCACGTACGGGTCGGGAAAAATATTCATCCTCGTTTACGGCTCATTTCCTTCTTGATTGCACGTTTGTTTTGACACTGACAATGAGCTTACATGATTCAGCAAGTCACAAAGTTATTTTTTATTATTTTTCATACAAATATTAAATATTTTCAAATAGAATTCTTCATAGCTACGTAAAGAATTGTTTGATTTTAACAAATTTAAAAGTGGAAATTATCTAGGATGTGAGCAGGCAAGGAAAGTATTTTTAAAAATTTTGTCTTGACTTGATTGTGATAAAATAAATTTATATCAGTACATACTATCTTTATGCTAATGACAAAATTAAACTGTAATTTGGTTATTTCTAAGTTCTACAATAATTGAAAATAAATTAAAGGAATTTTATATATAATAACTTTTAATTATAAAACAAACTTTTGCATTTGACCCAACACAATAATCACAGCAAGAAATTGCAACTCTTTTAAGGAGCAAACGTAAAATTATTAAATTATATTTCATCACAATGGGATAGACAATTAAATAGGTTTGATAATAGCATCACGTCTGCCTTCAAAACCAGTCAATTTCCCATTTGCATTCTATAAACATCGAATTTGTCCACTTTTTTTTATAAATTTGTTCCATATCACATTTTTACAGTACAAGAGAGATTATTTGGAGGGGGGAATATAAGAATCAAAATCTCATTTGAGCTAAAATTGCAAGACTTTGCTCTGGTTCTATATTTTCTAACTCACGTCAGATTCACAACCAGTAAAGGATTTCTTAATTTTCGTAAAAACACCAAACAAAAAATATCCTGCTCTACACGTTTCTCAGCTGCAGCCTAAAATTCATGAGCTGTGAAATTATTTTGACAAAAAATTATTACAATTAATTTTGTAAAAGTGTTTTTCTCAAACAATCAATTTTTTTCTTAAAAATTGTTTTCAGAAGTTACAATTTATTCAAAAATTGACAATTATTGTTACATAAATATTATTTACAAATTTAATTTTTGTAATAATTTGATCTGAAATTGAAGATAATTAAGATTTGCTCTGAAACAAATTGCATACGAAAAAATTGGGCGGTTTTCAAATCGATAAAAACAAAAAATTAATAAGTCAGTGTCAAATTAATCAAATCCTAGAATGAGGAGGAAATTTTTTCTCAACCCTCACGTTTTGTCAAAAATCTTTTCTACTAACCGTGACAGCCCCAAACCATGCCGTGCGCCCCTTTCTCTTTCTGGGGAGGGCGCCCGCTTTGTAAAAATTGGCTGGAAATGAAATTTAGAAGTAAAAAAAGGCAGCATGCTTGCTTAGAGTGGCAAGGTGACGGGGTTGTGTGTTGGCTCTAAGGCGCGTATCGCGCTCTTGCAGAGCGTGGTGCTATCTGTCGCCTAACAGCTCGGTGGCGTGTATTGCGCCCGGTGATGCCCGCAGTGAGAAGTCGCCTGGCGGCCCCCTGACGCAGTCGCGCCGCTCCAGCCACGACTCGAACGGCGCCCTCGCCAGCCCGCCCATCTACACGACGTCGCCGCCGCGGGGTGGGCCCCGCATGATGCAGGGTGCCGTCGTGACGACGGCCACCGGTGCGTACCACCACACAGGAATCAGCCACCCAATTAGCTCAGCAGAGAAGGTGAGGCTCTCGCCCATGGTGCTGCAGCCACCAACCAGGGTGTAGCACGCACCTCTTATCAGCCGGGTCTGAACTGACGAAAGATGCACACTTTTCCACGAGGTCAGTTTTCTGAGGAGAGCACTTTGCGAGTCAATTTATTATATAACTTTTAAACATATCAATTTTCCGTTTCGAATTAACACTCTTTGGAAGTTGATTTTTTTACATTTTTACATTTTTACTGTTGCTGCTTTATTTTTTTGTTTTTGTATCACTTTCGGGGCATCTTTTTGACAGTTTTATTTTCGAGTCCAACATATTTTTGAAAGTCAAAAGATGCCTCGGCACTGTTAACAGTATTTTTGAGCAGTAATAATTGTTTTCGTAATTTGAGATAACAATGCAGTCTAATTGAGCTGAGAATTGGAGAAAAATTTAAATTCAAATTAATCGAATAATAGCACATTTTATAATACTCGACACACATGACACAAAACGAGCACTTGAGAAAGAAGTTGTTTGTAAAATTTAGGTCTTAAAATTTTTAAAAAAACTTCGATTCTAAAATTTTAATTCTGATAAAATATTGAAAAAGTCATGCAAATGAAAAAGATCTGGCTTTTCCTCGTTCCGAAAATTGTTTTCATACAAAAACAAAATGCTCTACCAGTTTCGGTCACGGTCTGCGACCCTATTTCATGAGCAAGAAAAATACCAAAATCAGCAGAATTTAAAAAAAATACCACACTTAAACATAAAATCGTAATACTTCAAAAAGTGGTGTTTTTTAATTTGCTTCTTTTCATGAATTAGGGTCGCAGACCGTGACAGGCACTTGGTAGAGCGGTTTTGTTTTTTGGAAAAAAAAAATAAAACATTTTTCATCGAGGAAAAGCCTGATCTCTTCATTTCCATGATCATCTCCTCAAGTTTCAATTTTTCAAACAAATTAAAAAAGATTCTAAAGTTTTTTTAGAAAAGAAAAAATTGTTTTAAAAACATTTTTTGAATAACAATATTGAAAATTGTTTTGCAAGATTTATTAAGTTATTTTAATATTTTAAATATATTAAAAATATGTTTTATATTTTATAATTAATTTTAATATTTGTTCTCTAAGTTTTTAAGTAATAAATTATTAATAGCTTATCTTTGCCATTGAAAAGGCAAAATGTTATATTAAAAATATCATGGAAAATGGTATTATATCAAATTATTTTTCAAAATATTCTAAACAGCTTTTTTCTAGCATTAAATAACACTCATTATACACTCGAATCTTAAAAGTTTAATAAATTGATATCTAAAATACCAAATTTGGCTACTTTCCATGGAAAAAGTAAAATTTCTTCTCGCAGCTTAGTACGCAAATTAGACTGTGTTTTTTTCATGTTGAAATTTTCTTACATATACTTTTAATGTTAGCTGCAGTAATTAATAATACTTTTGAAATATTGGCTCTCATACTTCTTTTTGCATTTTCTTGACACATTTTCCGTTTTTGTGGTGTTGGATTTGGACTGAGCAACTATATTTGCCACTCCACACACACTCTACTCTCATTTTACAGACACGTTAAAAAAAATTTTGGGTCTTCTTTTTCCACACGAGCACCAGTATTGATTCTTTTCAAAATCTTCTTTATCGTTTCTTAATCGCAATTTTGATTCCACGTGTTTCTCTCTCTCTCTATCTCTTTGGAAGTAAAAAGTTGATGCCGATCGTGTAATCCAAATTCTCTCTGTGGAGCTTTTTGGGTGTGACTACTTTTCTGAAAAAGTTTTGGTTCAGTTGTGTGTAAACTAGCATCACTGCAAGGTAAACTGGAAATAATTATTTAATCAGAAGAATTAACCGAGGTTGAGAAAAATAGATCACAATAAATTTAATGATTTGAGTAAATTAACCACTTCACCGAGTTGTAATTGTAGTTTACGATTAATAGCCATAATCAAAAACACATTTCATTGATCCAGAGTGGCAATAATTACTGCATGGCTAATTCTCCCATTTGACTGTTACACGAATGAACTCTGTTTTCCTCAACCTGATTAAAAATGACACCACACGGCATGACGCTGCACACAAATTACTAACACACTCTCGCACTTTCCTTAGTTTCCGAAAAAAAAATGCACAAATAACACTCGAGTATGGTAGATTCAAAAACCGTTGAATTATTGTTTAAAAGCATGAATTTTTCCACCTTCCAAAAATTTGGATTTTTTTAATAAAAATATTCTGGATATTCTGAATTTGCAGGCACTGATGCGTGGCGCTAATTTCCCGGCCCAGGCGTTCCACTCGAGGAGCTTCGGAGGTTCGGCGTCGACGGACACGGTGTTCGCCACCTTGCAAGTGCCTCGGATCAGCAACAACGGCTCCACCAAGGTGGCCGTCAACAGAGGCGTCGTCCACTCCATCTACCGACCCCTCGAGTACGCCGACATCTGATCTTTCTCCCCGAAAAAACGTGTGGCACAGACACTTGACCCAGCTGATAATTATTAATATTTAAAAATTTAAAAAAAAATAATAATAATGCGTTGTGAACAAAAAAATGAAAATGATCACTTTGATACGCGCGACTAACTTGACTAGTTAGCGGACGAGAAATGATGCTGTTGAAGAGCTGGACCAACCTTCCAACGCTGAGACAAGACAGAGAAGAATTTCCTGGTAGTTTTTTCATTGCCAGCGCTTATAACGAATTCTTTTGTATTTTTATAAATGTGCATTTTTCCGTTTGTTATTTATTTATTGTAATAATATGTACTGCATGAATAATATAATATAAATGATATTTAATTACCACCTTAATTATTACAAAGGCAACTGGTTACCCGTCGCACCGTTTTTTTTTTATAATTTTTTTTCGGTGGTTTATTTATGATCACTGATTTATTTGAATGCTCATATTGATTATAAGTTTAACCAAAAAGTGCGCTGGATAAGTGGACGTAAAAATAGAAAAATGTATCTGTTTGAAGAAGAAGTTGATACTCAAGGAGAAGATTTTGAAAACAAAGAGATTGGGCAAAAAATTGGGCAAAAAGGCTCTACCAATTTCGGTCACGGTCTGCGACCCTATTTCATGAGCAAGAAAGGTACAAAAATATCTACATTGATGCATTACCGAAAAATATTAAAAGTTGTAAAAATGATGATGAGCTTGTAATGAAGGTGAAAAAATATGTGTTGGAAAACCAGTTTTATGACATGGGCGAATTTTTCGCTCTAAATAATTAGCAATACTCTTTATTGACCTCTTTTGCAAAAGCTTATACTGTAAATGTATAAATTAGCTTATATCAAAATTAAATAAACTTGAACTTGAACTTGGAAGCAACAAAATTGAAAAAAAACCAAACATTTAAATGGAAAAAAATTAATTTTGCTGATTTTTTTTGTACTGTTCTTGCTTATGAAATAGGGTCGCAGATCGGGACCGAAACCGGTAGAGCCATTTTGTTTTTAAATAAAAAAAAATTGCCATCTCTTCATTTCCAAAAATAAAATTAATTTGAATTTTTCGTTTCGCACCAGCATTTTTTCCAGCTGCCGGCCTCTTAATTCTGATCGCAAACAGCCAACACAGAAACCATATCCTCTAATCTGTAACAATTTGTAATGAGATAATTAGCTCTCTTAACTCTTCTCTATCTCACTGCCAAAAGTTTTAACACTCTTCATTTTTCCACCGGGTTTCAATGTTCTTACGAAGCGCATTTTAATGATATAAATGAGATGGTATATTGCTTATTAACTGTTGAAACTTAGATGTTGTTTTGCGCCGATTTCCGAGTGAAAGGAATTAAAATTAAATTCCTTTTATTCCGAAATTTGCTCTTCATAATAAGCTGTTCAAACAAATTCACGGTTGATTTCCCTTTATAAAAAAAAAAACGTTCCAATAGTTGGCCTAACTACGCCGAATCCTGTCACTATAGCTCTCTGATATAATATAAATGTACGAACACACTTTCACTGATCTAGACGCTATTTGCACTGAAAACTGTTCATGAAAACAATGAATGTCAACATAGTTTATCAATTAAATATAACACAATGTGCGTTGAAATTTTAACCGCTGACGAAGATGATTTTATGTGAAGATCGATTTTACCGCTGTTTCACTTTTACCAATTGGATTCGTGGTTATGTGTTGAGAAGTTTCAATCAATATAGATGTGGAAAATTTCCGTTTTTCATCTTATAATGATATCAAATTGGCTGGCAATGTGTATGTGTTTTTAAAATTTTTGTAGCGAAAAACGGTTATTTCTGATCTCTAAGCGAAAACTTTGTCACATTTTCAAAAAAAAGGCGTTTTTTATTTGGATTAAGTTATAAATGAAAAGTGTACATATGAACGAAAAGTGGTATTTAAATGATAATTTCACCTTTTGGAGTTTGTACAGGTGTGTAAAAAGTTAAAACCGAACGAGGGACAAAAGCAGTGACTCTGAGAAATGTAGGTTTTTGCGAGTAAATCTAGCGATAGCAGCATAAGAGAGTTATTTTAAAAAGTGACACACGAGATTGAGTGAAAAGGCTGTTTTAATAAAAGAAATTGAAAGAAGTCTTGCTTTAGGAAAATTTTTATTTGTGTAAATTTTAAGGCTTTTGACTTCGCAAATGAATAATATTTATTCCTGGTATGCGCCGCTTGTGGACTGTTTGCGTGTGCACCGATTGTGTATTAAAAGCAGCAGAGCGAAAAACGACGCAGCTGCTGAATTTATGGAATCATGTAATTTTAAATCTATGGTTTCTTAATTGCGCTGAAAAAATCCAGTGTATATTAATCTCTAGGCGAGACGAGGGATGAACGAATTAAAAAAGAAAAATGACCTTAATCTTATTACCGTAGTAAATGTTAAATTATGACGAATTGATAAATGAACTTCCAAATGAGCATGGCATGAGTGTATAAAAAAAAAATTAAAAGAAAAACGTAACATGTGAAATTGATGTTTGTACAATATTTGTCTATGTATTAGTCCTGAATGACACACTTGTAAATAAAAACGATGCAAAAATTAAAATGACGATTTCTTTATTCAAGACAAGCACCAAAGCATAGCATAAAAATTTAATAATTAAAATATTAAACTTAAAAAATAAATACATAAAAGATAATTACTATTGTAGCTTTATAAATACTAAATATTTTAGTTAGAATATTATTAAAAATTATTAAATGGAGTTAAATTGTAATTAAATATAATTATAATAAATAAAATTTAATTTTGAATAAAATTAATTTGTTTAAATAATTCATTAAAATGCTTTATTCCAACTCCAGCCATTATATTATTTTATTATATAAAAAATAAATTTGATATTTTAATACAGTGAGAATACAATCAAAATACTGCAAGAAAGTATTCAAATTCAATTCAAATTTTGTCCCATCACATAAATTAATTTGACACACTTTAAGCATCATTCAAAACTAGCAATAATTTTTGTACAATATTCAAAGAGTACAAATTATACATTATTAATTATATCTCAAAACAAAGTCTTCTATGAATAAAATCAATTTTTGCAATTTTTCTTGTAATTATATCAAACAGAAAAGCATTATTCATTTTTGCATTAATTTATTTGAAAAGACAAAAAAATTTCAAACTTTCTCTTGTGACTTTTGCGAGTTTTAACCGCGGGATATTTAGGACACGCTTTGTCTGTGTGATTTTTTTACTACGTTTTGATGTTATAAATTTAGAGTTTAAATTTTGCTTTTCTTTCATGAGTTATTTTGAGTCGTTTTTTAATTGTTAGAAAACAACGATATGCATCAAAAGTCGAATTTTTAAATTCAAACGCTTCTATAAAATGAAAAATAGTCCAACCTGAAATTAGAAGACTATTTTTGGACCAAAAATCAGACTATATTAATACTCAGACTATAAATTATTAATAATCAGACTATTATAAGAATTAATATTTTTTTCTGTATAGGTTCTTGAAGTTGTTGTTGTGGAACCTTTTGGCACTCGAGGTGGTCATATTTGTTGAAAGCATAATTGAGCAGGGATTTTCTGTTCCATGCAGAAACAATAAAGTTGCTCATCTCCACCGAGGAAGCCGGATTTTATTTCAACAATTAATATTTTTTGTTCTTCTCTCAGCCTTATTATTATTTTGTCGAGAAATAAAATTTATTACTTCAGAATCTGATATGGTATTTTTTTTTTTAAATATATTACTACGTAGTTTAAAATTCGTTCACCATTCATCAGCACGTTTTGTTCGGCACCTGCTCACTAGAGGTAGCAGGTGCACAGCTGCGGCCACCAGATTAACTGGTTGGTTCACCGCTGACGTCACAATCACGAGCTTGCGGTTGGTGAGTCACGTGGTGCAGCATCGAGAAAGCGCTTCTGCGGCACCGAGCGTCGTCAGTCACGAGGCGAAACCTACGGCAGGGCCACTCTCGACAGGCACCGTTAAGAAAGCAGGGTTCATTCGCGACTTTTGACCAGCATCTGGTCACATATTGCAGCAGACAACATGTTGACCGGCGGCGCAGCTCTCATCAAATACCTAATCTTCATCTTCAACCTCGTCTTTGTGGTGCGTACATTTGAATTATATTAATTTTTACATATGGATCACCTTCACTTTTTACAACGTGGAATGTAAAAAATTTCACTAATTCGTTCCATGAAGTGAATTATATTCGGAGCGCGTTCGGTTAACGGTAGTTGATTTTTATATCGAGCGCAATTAGATGCATTATTCGGATGATGGAAAGTGACAGGCAATTTAATGTGTATATAAAAGTCAATGAAAGGAAAGCAGCGTCATGAATTAGGCAACTCGTCGCTATTATTTACAGTGAGAGTTTTCGTGGATTTTTTTCTTACTAATTTGTTGTCTTTTTTTAAGGACCTCGTTTTGAGGCAGAGCCCGAACAAATTTATTCAGCCGCTCGCGTCCGTCGCTATTTGAACGATGATAGGCGCCGTGTTTGCCTTAATAAACATAATAAACAGGCCGCCGCAGTATCACCTGCGTGCAAGCCAAGTCGTGGCACAAATCGAACGTGTACTTGTCATTTTTTCGTCTATTTCTATAATATAGGCGGTCGAAAAGAATGACGCAAAGCATTTCCTTGAATTGAGGACAATTTTTTCTTGCCACAAAAATTTTATTATCTTGCAAGACAGTCGAGTATAATAAAGATTTGAGTGTGGTTTCCAGAACAGATAAGCATTTCCAAATAAAAAAAAAACCTGAGGATTATATTTAATTCAAAAAAAAAAAATTTTCAAAATGAATTTACTTCCTACTTTGAGGGTTTTAATTGCAAAACAGTCACAACTGATTAGCCAGTGGCCAACATATTTCTCAATTAAACGCCCAAGACTCTTCAATTTGAAAAAAAAATCAAATTAATCTGCCGCTATATAGCGGAGCGTCTATGAAATATATTTTTCCCGGAACTTCTTTTGACAAATTAAAGATAAGAAATATCAAACTTTTTTATTGAGTAGGAGTCGAATTGCGCAATGTTGTTTCCTGCGAATCTTTTACTGACGTTCTGTATGACGAAGAATTAAGAAGTGTTCGTTCGTTAAGAACTTTTTTAGTAAAACCACTGATAGCGTTAGTTTATTTGCGAGTGATTCAAAGTCACACACGTCTCATAAGCTGAGATAAAGATAACGAATCTTTATGGTTCATGGACAGGGTGACTGCGAAAGAGGAAAAATCATTTATGCTCTTTAAATAATTCATTTAATTCATTTGTAGACTTGATGCACAATTAATTATGGCAGATTTTAAACAAGATTTTTCCTTATTGAGAAATATATTTGTATTTAACTGGTATTTAAGACGTTTTTTAAAAAAGAAAACTGCTTCTTTTTCACTGTGGAAACCGCCTTTATAAACAAATTAATAATAATAAATTATGAAGGTAAAAAACTGAAGCTTTCTTCTTCTAATTAATTGATTTAATTTTATTTGCTCTTTAATAACTTCTTTATAATACAATAAATTTATTTGTTTTTTAATTTAAATTTTTTTATACCGTAAATAGTTATCAATAATATAATTATGGGAAAAATTTAAAAATTTAAAAACTAAAAAATATTAAAATTAAAACATTTTAAACAATATAAATTATAAATATAAATAAATAGATATTTTATGACTTAATATAACCTGCACATAATACAATAATATTGGTTGAATTGGTTCAGTTTGTGTAATTAAATATTTTCAATAATTGTTATGACTTTTTGTTTTGACCGTTTTACTCTTTTGGGACAAATGCAATTTTAAAATATATTTTAATTTTTCCAGATCACGGGAATAGTGATTTTGACGATTGGTGCCGTAATTTTGGGCCAGTATGGAACATACGAAGCTCTTTTGGATGGAAACTACTTTTCCACACCCGGACTGCTGATCGCGATCGGCGTCATCATTTTCATCGTCGCCTTCTTCGGCTGCTGCGGCTCCATCAGGGAAAACTACTGCATGGTCCTCACTGTAAGTTTGTTGCGCTTCTATTATATTTTCCAAATGATCAACAAGATACCAGACCAGAGATAATAACTAAAAACACCAGTCTTGTGCAGTTTGTCAAACATCCTAACGCGCCGAGCGCTATAAACATTTCCTTGTGCGCAATTATACTATTTATAGAAGCATCAATGACGTCGTTACATTTAGGGTGTTTCAAAGCTTCAAAATTTTGCACCTGTACTTCTTTGAAAGTGGAACTAAAAATTTTTCATTAAATTTATTTATGAAACCCGATATTACGTGAAAATTTTCATTCGTTCAATATTTTTTTTATAATAATTGTTTGAATAACTTGAATTTAATTCATGAACTCAGGATATTAGTTTTATTATTTTTTTTCTTCTTGAACTGGCCGGTTTTTAAAAGAAATTTAAAAAATTATAAAAAAAGGACCAGAAAGATCAGAAGAGAAACACGTGAATTCAGGAAGAGCAGCGACGACGCGAAGCCAAGCAAGCTTGGCGACTCTAATGTGAATCACCTCAACAGTTTTGCCCTTGTTGAATAACAATCCGTTCAGCAGACTGCACAGCGTAATTTTTTCCTCTGCATGTCTGACGAGTTTAATAAAAAAGCGCACCATATTTTACGCACGTGACGTGAGAGGGTTAGGAAAAATCAAACCCGTTCCTCTCGCCTGCTTTTTCACAAATAATTTCCTCGTTTCGCGACAGTTCGAAAATTCATTTTAAGCTCTTATTGAGAAGAATTTTTTATTTTTCTGAATGAAATTCCAGTTTGCCACTTTGATGATCGCAATCTTCATCCTGGAGTTGGCCGGTGGAATTGCAGGATACATGTTGAGCAGCAATGCTGAGAAGGTGCTCCGCGAAAGTATGGTCCGCATGCTGCCCGAATACAATGTTGCAACTGGACCATGGAACAAGCATGACTGGGACACTCTTCAGTCCAGCGTAAGATTTTTTTAATTTGAAATTCATTTATTTTTGATTATTTATATAATTATTAATTTTTTAAGAGGTTTTTTGTGACTCAAAAATATTACTTTTTGAGACATTTTTAAAAATTAATTTTTCAATTAAAAGTTTTGGTTTGTATATTCCATTCTTTAAAGCCAAGTGTTTCTCGCACAGTTTCAGTAAATCCACGGAAAAAACCTCTTAAAAAATCAACCCCTGAAACTGCTATACACTTTACAACATAAACAAAACACTACTCTACACTAATTTGAACAGAAAAAACACATGCACACTAACAATTATCTGAGAATTATTAATTTATCTGTTCAATATGATTCATTTTAGATTCATTAATGTGTCTTTATATTTTAATTAATATTATATTTGGTATTTGGTATTCATAATTTCTTGGTGATCAGCTAGATTTTGTGAGTTGTTTATTGCTTAATAATAAACAATATTCCTGCTCATAATTTATGAACTGTGAAATAATTTTTACAAGAATCAGTACAAAATACAATCTTTTAAAAATATTTTGCTTTTAAATTAACAATTTTCTTGTGAAATATTATTGAAAGTTACATTTTTACACAAAATAATTTCAAAAAAAAAAAAAAATGACAATTGAATTGAAAATTTGTATCAAATTAATTAATTTATTTTTTTTAAACCCATTTAGGAAAGGTCATTAACTTTAAATACAAATTACCGTGAATTAACCCTTCATAGTAAAATCTTTACTTTAAAATATATTTTATTGTTTTTTAATTTATTAAATTAGTTTTTTTTTTAAATAAAAAATATCACTATTTAATTATTTTCTATTTATTTCATTAGTGTAAGAGAAGAATAAAAAAAAAAAATAAAAAACAGTAAATTCAATAAATTGAAATACACATAATCTAACATCAACCTTTTTGAAAAAAAAATTTTATGTCATTTAAATTTTACAGTTCCAATGCTGCGGTGTTGATGGTCCTGACGATTGGGCAAAGCATGGAGTGTTCAACGGAACAAAACTCTATCCCGATTCATGCTGCCAATTCTACCCAAGTGAATTGACCAAATGCAATTTTGAAGGTCCTTCCAGCAATGCTACTGGCATATACACGGTATTTTGATATTTTTATTGCATTTGATCTGGATTGTATCTTAACACACAATTTTCTATAAATTTACAGAAAGGTTGCCTGGTCAATTTGGAGCAATTTGTGTCCGATAACGCAATTACCATCGGAGGAACTGGAATTGGCATTGCAGTGGTCCAGGTAATTCTAAATTTAAAAAAAAAATTAATTAATTTAAAATATCAACTTCAATCAAACATATTCTCCATTTGACGATGTTTGTATTTTTTTATATAACAAATTTGATAAAAAGAAAGTCACTATTGTGCAATTTTGTAAGTAAACTTGAAAATATTATAAGTTTTTGATTCAGAGAGGTTGAATAGAAGTTATTTTCTAGCAAACAATAACAAAATCACATTCTCTACAACAAGAAGTGCATTAAATTTGTGACCTTTAATTAAAACAATATTCTTATCTGCAGCTTTTCGGAGTGGTTTTGTCCTGCGCCTTGGCCAAGAACATCAAACAAGGCTACGAAACTGTCTAAGAAGAACTGATGACACATGAAAGAAACGAATTTACAATTGAAAATCAACAGCCGATTTCAGCTTGTCCTCTATATATCTCAGCCAGCATCTCTTTCTACTATACTTTTTTCCAAGTAAATAATTATATTTTTGGTATTTGAAATGCTTTTGTCTATTTGTGATGAAAAATAAAATAATTCAGATTTATATTTATTTTACCACTTTTCCATCACTGTGAGTAAACTTTAAAGTACATTTTACGTTCTAAGTTCACTGTTCTCCTGTATTTGATTGGATTGCCAAGAAAACGTTGGTACTAAATGTGGGCACCAAAATTTTGAACACTATTTTGCCATTATTGTATAATTTGATATATTTCCAATAGAAATTCATGAGAGTGAATAAATTTATAAATGGAAGTTGACGATTTTGTTATTTAAAACTTTCCTTCTTCTACTAATTTTAGAAATGCATCTTCTGGTGGAAAACGAAAATATTAAAAAAAAAAAAAAAATTATATTCTATCAATAGGATTTTGTAAAATAATCATCAAAATGTTGAGAACTTTGAAAATTTTCTTCTTAATCATCATAATTACTTTTATTCAATTCAAATCAGGGCTTTTTTGAATTGTAAAATAGCTTAATTGCTTTTATATAATTTAAAATTATTAATATTTAGAATATTTAATTACATTTAATTAATCACAGTGGTGTGGTGCCTCACCTTCTTAGCGCCAATAACCTTTGAATTCCACCTTTGGTAGTTCTCCAGACGAGCCACAGGTGTCACCTGCGAATGGAATTTTTATTTACAAATCGCCCACGGGCATGTTTGTTTTGACACTTTAGTTTTTATCGTTTTGATATTTATATATGTATTTGATTGACATTTAAAAAAATTTAGTGAAATTAAGACGATTTTTGAGTAGAAATGCTGGCCGTCGAGTTTGTGGTGCTCTTGGGCGTCCTGATTTCACCTTTGGCCTCAGGTAAGACCCTCTCGGAGGGTTTATTTTCGACTTGTGTGGTCTGGCACCGTCCTTGAGGGTGTGGAGCGATGAAAGGGAATTATTTGATTTAATTTTCCAGCGCAAACCTCTGGTTTTTACTTCGACAACGGCCACCAGCATGTGCGCGAAAGGCTGCTCAGTGCCGAGGAAAGGGCCAAGATGCAGCACAAGATCCTCAACATTTTGGGCCTTCCGAAGGCACCCCACGGTGCTGAGGTCGTTTCCAACCATTCCTTGCACCACCCGCACACCATCGACAAAAAGGCGGCGGCGCCCAAGTTCCTGATGGACGTGTACCGGATGCTGCTGGACGAGGAGCAACACCTGAACCACAAAAAGACTGAATTCGAAATGACGGACACCGACATTCATGCCATGCACGAGAGCGATGTCATCATGAGCTTCACAAGTCAAGGTTTAATCAAAAATTTATTTTGCTTTCTCAAATCTAAAGATTTTCCTTCAACAGTTCCCCCGACAGTTGCTCTTCGTCACCAGCGTGATCAGAGATTGTGGTTCAACGTCTCGCAAGTGCCGTCCGGAGAGTCGATTGTAGCCTCCGAGCTGAGAGTGAACAAAAGGAAGATTCCTCTGAAAAACAACAAATTGGAGAAGTTCACGATCACCTTGAGTCAGCTTGTCCGGCAAGAGGATGGGTACTCTTTTTATTTTTAATTATTGTATTTTTTTTTCTAATGCCAATTAATTTGCAGGGAAGCATTAAAGAAAATTTCTGAAGTGCCATTTGACAGCTCCAGTGAGGGCTGGATTTTATTCAACGTCACTCAGGCACTCTACGATTGGGTGCACAACGAAAAGTCAAATCTAGGTCTGATTATGACTGTCACACGACTCAGGACAGGTAGTTTTGCTTTAATATTATTGTTGGTTTTTATTTACAACATTAAGAAATTTGAGACAACTTTGCTAAAATTTTGAATTCATACTTGATGAATTTCATATAGGGACGCATGAAAACTGCAGATCGAAAAATGACATGGGTCAATAATTTTTTATTGCCTTGGTTAAAAATATTCCCAAAATTTTTTTCGAATTTATAAAAATTATTTTCGAAAAACTCAAAAATTGGGTTTTTAATTTTTCTGTTGGTGACATGAACTTCAAAATAACTTTTCTAGACTAATTTTGCGACGCCCGACAACTTTTCAATAGTGACCAAACGTGTAGGAACATGTTCAAGGTTACTTTCAGCTAAAGTTTGACTTTCAGTCAAATTTTCGAAAAGAACGTCACCTACGATTTTTTTGTTGGATAAGAAAAAATGTAGCCCATCTAATTTAGAATCGGTATGGTGAAATCCAAAAGTGCGTTATTTTTTGTTTTTATTCAATTCAAACTTAAATAAATGAAAACTTTGCTTCGCTTATCTAGATTATGCTGTCATTGGCATCAAAATCAATTTTTTTGTTTTAATTTCCTGATCCAATTAAAATGGTAAATATTTCAATTTGCAGAGGAACAATTTTTGAGTTTTTCGAAAATAATTTTTAAAAATTCGAAAAAAATTTTGGGAATTTTTTGACCTCATGAGGGTGACCTATAGGCAAGTGGTTATCATAGAAAAAAAAAATTATCAACCAATGTAATTTTTCGATCTGCAGTTTTCATGCGTCCCTATATGAAATTCATCACTTTTCTTTTGATAACATCAGTTTATTTAATAAAAAAATGCCATTTTTTTATCATTATTAGTAATTTTAGAGTTTGAAATTATTCCAGGTAAAACTGTCAAGGCAGAGGAAGCAGGCGTCGTCACGGCCCAGCTCAAAAATTCCGAGAAGCAACCTTTTATGGTAGCTTTTTTCAAGTCTGAATTTGACCTGACAGAATCTGCAGTCACCCTGCAGATTAGAGACGACCTGCCTTTGAAAGTTGCTGACGAAACTGAAAATGAAATCGAGGAATCGACTGGTCCGAGGAGAGCAAAACGCGACACCAAGAAGAAGAAGAAAAGCCCTGAGCAAAGCTCGGCTGGATCCTTCAAACACCTCGTTTCAGGTGTTTATAAGAATAAACCTATAATTGAATTAAAAATAATATTGTAAATTAATTTCAGATTTGTCTCCCACGCTTAGATCGGAGAAAAGTTGCCAGTTGAGGACAATGTTTGTCAGTTTTGCCGATTTAGGATGGCAGGTAGAATTTTCCACTCAATTTTTTGTTTTTATAAAATTTCAACAATTATCTAGGACTGGATCATCGCTCCTGATGGATATGCAGCTTATTATTGTTCCGGCGATTGCTTCTTCCCGCTCACATCCCACATGAATGCCACAAACCATGCCATTGTCCAAACGCTGGTGCACCTGTTGAAACCAACCCTCGTGCCCACTCCATGCTGTGCACCGACTAAACTGGCCGGAATCTCCGTCCTGTACTACATGGACACGTCAGCCAACGTAATTTTGAAGCCATACAAAAATATGGTGGTGAAAGCGTGCGGCTGCCAGTAATGTAGACTTTTGACTTGTATCCTGAATCTTGCCTGCATTCCTCAAGGCATTTTAAGTGCAATATTCGAGCAGTGCCTTAATCATTTTGATATTATATTTAGATCTGCAACTTTATTTATGCTTGATTTACATATATTCCTACTTCTTTGTACTTTAGGAGACGTCTACTTATTAGATTTTGTAACGAGCCAGTAGGTGAAAAAGTAGGTTTTAAGTTACAGGTGCTATTAATGTGGTGGATGGGTCCAATCTGTTTAATTGACAATAATTTGTAATTCCTTTATTGATTTTCATATAAATTCCACACATATCAGCAAAAGCCATTTCTTGCTATGAATTGTGCCATATTTTAGAAATAAAAATCTACAACAAAAAGAATTACGAGAAGTTTGAATGGTACAGCAGAAATAAAGTCCTTAATAACTGGGAGCAAAGTGATCCTGCTCAATGTGGTTTCTCAACTCATCTAACTTGACAAAGTCCAGCTTGCAAATGTCACATACAAAAATGTCACTTGTAAGAGTCTCCTCCGAAGCCACCTTTTTAATTTTCTTACCCTTCTTTTTCTTAGTTTTCGGTGATTCCAAAATCACCTTCTCAATTTGGTTGCACACAGACTCGACATCACTCTTCCCAGCCTTTTCACTTTCTTGGGATTTTGAAAAGCTGTTATCCCGACTCGACATGGAAACATCCTTTTCTTCTTCGGAGCTCTTGTTCATGACGTTTGTCAGAACTACTCTGGCTTCCATGAGTCTCAGCTTCTTCTTAACCACCACTTCTTCCACTGAATCTTCTTCAGAGCTCTGTCCAGACTCTGCATTTTTAGACATTTTCGACATCCACTTTTTTGGATTGGAAAATGATTTTTGAGATTGGTGATAGTTTGCTATAATTTCTAGCCTCTTCGAAGCTTTCTGAAAAGCGCCCCTTTTTATTCTACCACTATCTGTGACAGGCGATTCACTTTCACTAGCTGTGACCGAGCTCTGAAAATATTAATAAAACAACTTATTAATTTAAAATTCTCGTTTCGTCAAAGATTGATTTACCAAAATAGAGTTGAGATCGACCTTTTGCGATCTTGGACGTTTGTGGAGCCTTGGACGTCCTGGTTTCTTCTTCAAAATGGAATGAGAGTCAGCAACTTTCACAGGAGGTTCAACGGCCTCAGGCCCTTCTTGTTTCTTGTCTGAAGTTGTCTTCAAGAGTGACACTCCAACTGACGTCCTCCTCGTTGCAGCGTTTGAGTTTTCAAGTCTCACAACATGGGTCGACTTCCTCTTTTGCTTGTGGGAATCGCCGTTTTGGAGGTCGATCGTGCTGCTAGTGGGGCTCCCCTTGCCACCATTGGAGAAGACAGCGTTTCTAGGAAGTGTTTGCACCATTTTTGCACCGTTTTTGGTGATAATCAATCTCATTCTGTTGCCTCCGAGAATTCTCGGTGCAGGTCCAGCAGTGACTGGGAGGGGATTCTGCAAGGAGTTTGTAAGTGGTCCCTGCACGATCTTGACAAGCTTGGCCTTTGTTGCTAATGGAAAATAGGGTTGGATTCCAGGCAGCGCCGGCTTGGGAGCAATATTTGCAAAGGGTGTCTGAAAGATCAGACGTGGTGCAGTGTTGATCGGCCCAGCAGTAACAGTTCCATTGAGGAAGCTCATGTCCGGCTGGACCTCGATGCTTTCAGCATTGGATTTCGATGGGTCATAGTCTTTGATTTCTGACAAGAGATTGGACAGCGACAAGGGATCCATTTCATTTCCACTTATTGAAGATAAGCGGACCTCCTCGGTTGCATTTGGCTGAACTGACGTTGTTTGAATTGGATCAGTAGGCTGCGGTGTTTTCTTCTCAGGAGTATTTGCTGTTCCCAATAAGATTTTTTCCATAGCTTTCACAGACACCTTTCTGTGTTCAGTTCGCATCTTGAAAGGAAAGGGATCCTGCTTCGGTGATTTCTGTTTTGGTTCTGGACGAGGAGGAGGAGATGGGAAAGACTTGTTGATGGACGCTGGGTCCATGATTCTGATTTTGGCCGGAGTGGAGGATTCGTCGCTGGATTTTGCTTGATCCGCCAGGGACATTGTTTCAGAAACTCTGATTTTACATTTTCCATTGGGAGAGTCATCGGAATCACTCTCAGTTGTGGAAGAATCATCTTCGACCAGTTCTGAAGACCGGATCCTGGACTTCTTATGGCTCTGTTTCCACACTTTCCCTATTGTGCCAATCATGAGATGCTGCACAGTTTTCGTGAACGACTTGTTCAGTTCTGTCTTAATGTCGTTCAACCTCAGTTCCAAACGAACCGTTTCCTCCATCTGCAAGCAGCACTTGCAACAAATTGCCTGCAAAGGAAAATAGTTAAAAGAAATCTTCCATTTTTATCATTGCACTTTGCTACTTTTGTAGGTGTGTCATCTGGACTGAGGCTGTGCCTAATAGCTTGCTCCAAGGTTTTGAAGTAAAGTTGCCCTCCATCGAATTGCATTCGTGACTGGAACATGTCTGGGCATTTCTGGTCCCAGTTTCTCAACACAGAGCCGCAAACGATGCACCAGGGTTCATTGTTGGGAGTCTCGGGCCTCTCTGAGATGCCGCAGAAGATGAACTTCTTCATTCCATCGCTTTCATCAGTCGTTTCTTTGTGTCTGAAAAGTTGCAGGTATTATTTTATTTTTTATGTTTTGGTTTCAATATTTAAGCTCACTCATATGGAATAAAATCTGCGCTTGCAGGCCTTGCAGGATTAACAACAACGTCCTCTTTAGGATTCTGTTCCCTATAAAAGTCAATTTTTGGTAAGTTTCTTTTTAAATTTTATTGTTTTTGGCTTGAACATGTACAAATGCATTGTTAAAAATGTTTATTTACTGGTCAAGATCTGGGCCTGGCGGAACTTCATCTGCGGCCTTTTTTGATTTTTTCGGAAAAGTCATTCTAAAATTCCTTCTTCTGCCCATTTTATCGGTGGCACTCGAGAATTTGTTTAAATTTCAAGGCTTATTTTGATTTTGTAAACAGAAAATACGGAAAAAACAACATGATTGAATATTCACGTCAATCTAAGCGCTGATTGGCTGGAAGCGACCAATGAAGGGCGCTCCCGCTTTTTCGCTCCGTTCGAACCCCGGCAGAATTACAATTAATTACGCTAACAACCCATTTTTGTGCCTTTTTAAAGCTATAATTATTCACTAATTAATTTTTTTGATTCATCGATAGTAAAATACGTTGAAAAAAAGCGAAAATGTAGTCAAAGATGAAAATCAGCGAAAAGTCAGAATGACGTCATGCTGGTACCTGCGGCAGCGAGGCGCCTGCGCGGCAGCACCCAATTCTCTTCAGTTAATTCACATTCACAATGGAAGTCGTGCATGTCAGTGCAAATTCTTAGCTTTTTACGACAATTAACGGCGAAAAAGGCTAGAATTTCGCACGTGTAAAATGTAAATAGCTAGTGTAAGCGACGCGCAAGATGGAAAGAGACTCGTTTTGCGGCTAAAGAACGCTCAGTGCTTGTGAATCGCCGACACAGTGAAATCATCGAAATTCCGAGGTTGGTTCTCTCAGCAGTCTCTTCTTTTTTTATTCTTTTACGTTTGGCAACTGCAAAAATAATGCCGTGCGTCGCCAGGGCTGCGTGTAGCTAACCCAGGGCAAATCTGTTTTTCTGGTGTGCAGTGTTGAATGTGGAGCACGATCACGAATCTGTTCGCCACTCGACAACCCGAATCGCAACAACCAGAGCTCGGACCATCCGCAGAGGAACAAGAAGAGCTGTCCACAGCCATGGAACGGCCACTGCAACGCAGATTGTCGGCCGCGAACCTGCTGTCCAGCAACGGCCAGCAAGAGGAGTCGTACGACCCCCGACAGGTAGGCAGCTAAAATATAAAATTTGCCAATAACAGTTTGCGAAATCCTCCACCTCGTCCGCCATTGGCATTGATAGCTCCCATAGTCATACTCCTCTTTGGGAGGGGTCACTGTGTTGGTGACCCCCTGGATGACCTAGTCAGGGTTGGGCTCGTACCCTGTTTAAAACTGAAACCGTCCTGAAGGCAAAATTGCAAAGCAAAAGTTGGGGGGAAAATCACAGGATTGCAGACCCACTTTTGGTTGTTGTTCGAATCAGCTGAATTTCAGCGTAACAAATTCTAAATATTAAAGGCTGAAGCTAGCCTATTTTTTTTTTTAAATTAATTTCAAAATAATGTAATTGAAATTCAAAATAATATACTTGAATGGTCAAAATGATTTAATGTATTTTATACATAATTTATAACTTAATTTTTTTTACAAATAATTTATAATTTATGTACATGATTTTGATAGGTCAGAGGTTTTTATGAGAGGTTAAATTGAGGAAAAATCTATAAACTTTGAACTTTGGCTTCAGCAAAAGGTTTAATGCTAAAATTTAAACTTAAAATGAAAATTAATCCAAAAAATATTATTACTTTTAGATACTTTGAAAGATTAATGTATTGACATGCTCAAATTATAAAATAATTTGAAATCAAATATTCTCTTCCCCCTGCGTAAGATATAGAAAACTAAAATTGAAAGCAATATTCTTTTGTTTTTCAAATGTTGATAAAAATTAAATAGGAAAACTATAAATAAAATTATATTTTTTCCATGTTGCCATCAAAATTTATCAGCAACTTCGTTGTTTGTCTCTTGGTTGTCAATTTAATTGGCACCTGGATTGCTTTTTGCGACCGTTCGTGGGTGCCACGCGCTGGTATAATTGCAGAAGATGCGATTGGTGCACTGCTTAGTCGGATCTCATCGAAAACGGCAGGTGCAAAAATGACTTCCAAATAATCGTCGATTTATACACAGCCATCGTGTTATATCAAGGCACCCACTAGGCATGACGCACACGGCTCGGCCAACTCAAGCATTAAAGCCCGGCCGTTTTTAGGAAAGAACAGAGCCGTCCTCCAGTTCGGCCTGACGAGCAACGTATTAAAATAAATTGCACTTGAAACGTTCAGTTGGCATGAGAGACGTTGAATTTAATTAGTTTTAACTGATTTAAACTCTTTAACAAAAGTAAAACTTAATGATTTGAATTAAAATCGGCTTTTCCTCGATGGGTTGTTCATAGTAAAACACAATATTCTGCTCTACATGATTCATGAGCTTTGCAACTATTTTGACAGAAAATAGTGCATAAATTAATTTTATAAAAAAAAATCGTCAAATAATCAAATTTTTAATTTTCCCAATATTTTCCCAACTAAATTTTTTCACCAGATATTTTTTTTTAATTTCAACAATTATTGTTGCAAATATTTTTTGTTGAATATCGTCTTTTCTTAAACAATAAGCAACTCACAAAACGCATCTAGGAAAAACCAACTTTAAATTCATATCACCATGAATGACCCCTCAATTATGAAATTGTACTGCAAAAATAAAACACCTTAATCCGTCTCTGAAAATAAGAAATTATAATTTTACTCTGGAAAAATGAGCAAAGTTCTGGAGAAAAAAATTTGCAGTCTTCCGCAATGCTGATGTCCCTGGACGATCCAACAAGTTGAATTAAATTAAAAGTCGCAAATTGAATTAAAATGTCCAGTGCTTGGCCTCGTCAAGTTCCCTTCCTGCATTTAAATTATTCTTCTTCTTCTTTCTCCGAATTCCCCTTTCTTGCGACCAGTCGACCCTTGAAATCGAGATGAGAAGTGTGTTTTTTATTACATCTCCATTTTTGGCGCGCAATTTCTCTCGATCGACTCACTTTCCTCCTCCAGCTGTGAATCACCAAAAAAATGTGGCTAATTTGATAAGGCAAAAAATTTGGAAATCACAAGATAATTACAAATCTGACGGAGGAAAAGCAAGATTTGTAAATAATGCGTTTTGATGTGGTTGTGGTTGAAGCGAACACGGTGAGGACGGAATTTATGAGAGGATGCTTTTGATAAAAAAAGAGGGAAACACGGCGGTGTGAATGCATCTTGTTCTACATTATCTACCGCAAAGGTACAATTTTACACCGCCCCTTACAGAATAACATAATGAACCTTTTTCTTGATTTGTGTAGGATACAAAATTGTATTTAAACAAAAAAAGAAAAATACACTGGAAAAATAATTGTAATTGACTTAAGGAGAGGCTTTGGCAAAAAAAAAACGGCCTAGTGATCAATTTTAATGGTAATTTTTCTCAATCAAAATTGTTACTTATCGGAATTTTCTAAAATAATTTTTTTCTCGAAATTGGCAAGATAAAAATTTATAATAAAGTTTAGAAAATCACGTTCATATCACCCAAATTAAGATAAAAAAATATAACAATTAGATCCGAAAAAATAAAAAATTTAGCGGGAAAATGTTGAAGTTTTTTTCAGTCCAAATAAATTTAAATTATCAATTTTCGTTTAATGAATTTTCAGTGATAAAAAGTTTTTTGTGTAATTTATGATAAAAAAAAATTATGTTAATTTAAAACCAAATAATTGAAATATTCAATGCTCTGGGCTGACGTCTTTGTGCCCTTTTTGGACACCTGTGAATTATTCAAATCGAAGAAAATCGATACCGTCTCGAAAGAAAACTGACATTGAGATTTATTCGGGGCTCTCAAGTTCTTTGCCGGAATAAATTTACCGAGGTGAACGCACGCATGAGCCTTTCTTTCTCTCTTAATCTCTCCTCCAGCTGCACAATTTCTCATCTGCACTCTCTCATTGTCTCGAAACTCTTCATTAGTAAAACGGAGACCGTTGATTATTCGGTTTGTCTCGTCGTTTGCGTTATAGAAAAGTCGGCCTGATTTTGTACACATAAGAAAACAATCGTTTGATTTCTCGACCCGAGAGTGGCGTGCGTTGGATGAGTGGGATGATAATTCACGGCTGGAGCATTTCCTTCCTCTCGAGAATTCGAAAATTGCCGTGCCAACGACGACAACGATTTGCTATAGAGTGGCACCAATTCGAAGAATTTTATTTGTGAATTTTGCGCCTCTTCACAAGTTATTTGAGTTATTTCGGACAATGAAAAAAATTAATAGGATGAACGAAAGCGAGACTTAATTACGAAGAAACAAAAGTGATAAGAACAATAACAAAGTCAACCGAGGCTCTTTTTGATCTTGGTAGTTTTAGCAAAATTTTTGCTATTGGTAGTGCCGTTTTGTCCCACAATTCGTTCCTTTTCTAATAATTTTTTTTTTTGAACAACTGAGTGAATAAACAACGATAATAAACAAATTTAATGCATGTATTAGAAAAAATCTTTTGCAAAGATCAGAAAATTTTTCATCAGAAATTCAATGCTCAGAGATCGTGTTTTTCATTTGTTGGAAAATCAAAAGTAAGAAATTGAAAGGTCAGAATTTATTATTATTCTTTTATTATAAAGGTTTAGTAAACTAAAATTATCAAGTTTTACAATCAAATTTTTAGCAATATTATATATCTGCCTTATTCAATAATTAGAAATATTAATTAATCACAATGAATTCAACTACAAATTTTTAAGGACAAATTAAACTTTATTTTGTTTGCCAATCGTTTCATTTAATTCTTCACATGCTTACTTGTTGTGTTTTCTGATAAATTTATTTCTGGCAAATGAATCATATTTTGATAAATAATTTCTCAATAATTATTTTCGGACAAGCGAAAAGTAAATATTTTCTGTTGAATGTGGGGTTCCCGCAGGAAAGTGTCAATATCTGATAAGCGTATGAAAAGAATGCAAAGCTCTTTTTAGAGATAACACAGAAAAACACGTTATTAAAACTTTATTAAAAAATTCATTGAAAAATTCTCTCTTGATTAAGATTTTCGCTTCCATTTTAAATTTTAGTAAAAGTTTCTATTAAATTACGTAATGAAAATTGTAACCCATTTATCAGATTTACATATTTTTTTTAAATTTCACTGCAGCTCTTTTGTAGTTCTCTGTGCTGGTATTACCAAAATCGATCTCCACTGCCAATGAGCCAAATCGAAGGAGGGACAAGTTTTAATTATGCAGCCGACAAGTTTAAAGTTTGTCGGTTAATTAGTTGCCCCGGCGACGCTTTAGAAAAGTCTGCAATGCATCTGTGCGCAGAGATGAAAATGGGGCCATCGAGCGACGAGAGCGAAATAAAAACGTGCCGCCGGTGTGGACGCGAGCAAGAGCGCGTGTTTCGTTTACGAGGCTCATCTTTTCTCTCTCACGTGCACTGAAATTACGACAATAATCCGGTCCGCTGGGAAAATTGAAAGCGTCTTTCCTGGCCCGGTGGAAAAAAAAACAGGGAGAGATGCCATTGATAATGTAATACAGTGGCGTTGGTCACGAAATCTGACGACTTTCTGTGAAAGGCGATAAGTGTGGGGGTCATTATCAAAGTTTCTCCAAAGGTCGCCGCCGGGATAATTCCATTCATGCAAGCAAGGACCGGCTGCATCATTTTCGGAGCAACGGGAGAGAATTTTTGTTGAAATTGACGGCGATTTGCACTGTCATGATTTTTACAGAGGCCGGCCGAGCAACGATGGAAGTTTTTAATTATCTCGTTCCTCAGATGCTTTGGGCTTTCTCATAACTATCTTAAAGACAAATCATAAATTTGACCGTTCAAGAAAGACGACTTAATTTTATGCTGCTCTTATTATAAAATTAACAACTCGCAATAATTAATTTTAAATTTAAAACATCCCATAAAGGTGATTTTTTTTAATAAATAAATATTGTGGAAAATTAATTACAATTACTTTGAATTACCTAAACTTTTATCATTCAATTGAAAACAAAAAATGTAACTGTTTGATTTTATATCAATCAAAATAATGAAACGTTTGATTGATTTTATATTAATTTATCAAATTCTTAATGAATTTATAAAAGAAACGTTTCCAG